AAAATCACTCCCTACAGACAGGGTCTCACTCTGTAGCTCAGGTTGGCATTGAAATCTTGGCAGTCCTCCTTCCTCAGCCTCTAAGAGTGCTGGGATGGCAGGCATGAGCCACTGTGTTAAGCTAGAGAAGGTTTTTTGGTAAGAAGAAAGACATTGAAGATAATGGTGCCATTTTGACACTGACAGTTTGACACCTGCCCATGGTTTAGAACAAACGAAGCAGAGGCAACTCTAAATTGTTGAGAACCTTTCACTCAGTCCTTTTACCAGGGCCCATGCCTACTAAGCAGATGGAAAAGTCAAGGCACGAGCCTAATCACATGCCTAGTGTTTCATGATAGGCTCACAGCAGGATGGGAGCTGAAATTAGTTCATTTAGTTTATGAAAACATCTGCTGAGTACATACCAATGCTGGAGTTTGATGATAGGCACCAGCCCACCACCCCCACCTGCCAGTGCCGCACACAGATAACATCCTTGTGCAAGGATTTAAAATGGGAACCCTGCTATGCCAGTGGGGAATTGGCCCCTTGGCAACCTAGATCTGAGTGTCACCCTGCTGTGCCAGTCTGTGAAGAGGCATTCAGTTGCTCTCTATCATTCAGCAAGAGGCCTCTTGTGTAGAGCTATGGGTTCTCTTCCTGCCCACCAGGACCTCCCAGAAGTTCCTAGATCCATAGGGATTTTCTTTGATACTAAAAAGATTCCCCCCAGAAATTTGCATTTACTCACACAGTCATTTTGGCATCATAGTTGATGGCTGACACGGATACTGTCACCCTGGTATCCTCAGTATGCCAGAAGCTACTCCAGGGCTGAGTGACAGGTTATGATGATTGCCCTCTTGCATAAGGTTTTAAGGTCCACGAAAGAAGCTTTGCAGCCTAGGACTGGAAGACTCCAGCTAGCACAGCTGAAACAACTGGCTGCCAAGGCGTTGAGGATGCGGTGGTGATGGAGGGCTGAGACATTGCAGGTCCAGAGGGATCTTTCTAGCCATTCGACAGTCTCCTCTTCTGGTCTGATCTAACCTTGTCACTGTCCTTTCGGGACATATTGGTTTAGACCACTGTTGTTCACCTATCAAAGCTTAGGATGTCATCAGAGAGCATCTAAACATACTGTTTTCCTGTGACACTCTGGCCCAATAGTCCCATAAATGTACTTGGAAAGAGCCTTGGTTTATGACTTTGGTTCTTTGACAATAAACACTTTATGAAACCACGTCTACAATGGGACATGGTTTGGGGGTGATCTAAAGCTGTGTTTGTGGTCACTGCTCTCTGGCTCTAGAATGAGCCCTCTCTCAATCCTGAGAGCTGTGGCTTACACCGACAGTGTGAGCAGGTGCTCAGGGGTAGGAGGGAAGCACAGCCTCATCTTCTCTCGCTGTTTACAGCATCCACCACGTTGTAAGAACTGAGTCTTTTATTATTGTTATTATTATTATTATAGAAACACTATTTTACATATCAATTCCCCCATTCCCTCACCCTTCCATTTTCCCATGCCCCCCACCAACCCTCCAACCCACCTCCAAGGATAGTGAGGCCCTCCCACGGGGGACCATCAAAGTCCTTCACATCATTTGGGGGAGAGCCTAGTACCGCTTTTGTGTATCTGGGCTGCCAAAGTCCATTTGTGACTCGGGGATCAACTCTGGCTCCACTGTTAGAGGTCCCATAGACTTCCTAGGCCTCCTAGCTGGCACCCACATTCAGAGGGCTTGGTTCAGTCCAATGCTGGTTTCCCCTGCTCTCCGACTAGGTCAGGCCAACTGTTTCTGCAGGTTTCTCCAGCACAGTCTTGGATCCTTTGCTCATCTCTCCTCCCTCTCTGCAACTGGATTCCAGAAGTGTGGCCCAATGTTTAGCTGTGGGTGCCTGCTTCTGCTTAGATCAGCTACTGGATGAAGGCTCTAGGAATGGCAACCAAGGCAGTCATCAGTCTCATTATAGGGGAGGGGCATCAAAGGTAGCCTCTCCTTCACTGCCTAGATTCTTAGTTGGGGTCATCCCTGTGGATCCCTGAACATTTCCCCAGTGCCAGACCTCTCCTCAAACCTTTACTGGCTCCCTCTATAAGGCATCTCCTTTCTTGCCCTCCTCTATTCCTCCCTGTCTTAGACCTACTGATCTCTCCTGTTCTCCTCCCCCTCCCCTTCTCCCCTATCCCCTTCCCACTTCCCTCCTCTATCCCCCTATGCTCCCAATTTCCTCAGGGGTTCTTGTCCCCCTTCCTTTCTTCGAGGGATCATGCGTTCTTCTCTTGGGGTCCTCCTTGTTTCCTAGATTCCCTCGTGATGTGGGTTGTAGTCTAGTAATCCTTTGTTCCATGTCTAATATACATATATGAATGAGTACACACCCTTCCTGTCTTTCTGTAACTGGGTTACCTCACTCAGAATGGTTTCTCCCAGTTCCATCCATGCCTGTGAATTTCAAGATAAGAATGGAGTCTTAAGCTGGACACGGAGATGTGACACATGAAATCCCAGCACTCTGGGCAGGAGGATTGCTACAAGTTCAAGACCAGCCGGGACCACAATATGAGACTGTATTCATCGTAGGAGGAGAGGAGATGCAGGAGGGAGGAAGAGGAGAGGAGATGTGAGGAGGGGAGGGGAGGAGAGGGGAGGGAGGAAAGAAAGAACAGAGACTATGAGCATATAAAATGAAGTAGAGGTTTTAAGAACTCAGATCATAAATGAGTTTTATTACTTTTCTTCAAACCTTAATAAGTTACTGGGTTTCTCTCCCAGGTTCCAAACAGCTAATAGCTTTGTTGAACACTGTTCTCTTCCCTCCAAAAGGAAATTCTAATTAACTGGAGCACTTCATTCAACCTCAGCGATTTCCAGACGGGGCTGTGCTCCAGTTGGTCTTAGTTGTTCTGACGTCCTTTGTTAGCCTCATAAAACCGGCTTGGATATGAATCTTCGCAGCACTCAGTTCTGCTCTGTTTTGCATTCCTGCTTGTCCCTAGGGAGTGCTCCAGCTTGGCTCTGGTAGGTCTGGCTTGCAGCTGGAAAAGGAATGTGGCTCGTGGAGGAGGGGCTTGTCTGCTTGTTGAGACCTTCCGAAGCCTGTGCCCCCTCCACCTTAGGGTATTGTACAGGCTGGGGTTTAATGTGTTTCTTGGTGATTCTCAAGGGAATTCATCGAAACTGGTCTTGTGATGAACTTACTTTGTTCAGAGGGAGTTAAAGACAACCCAATTTCTGGAATACCTTTCACCTCTTTACTCCCCATTGTTTCCCAGAGGCCTAGCTTCTAAAGGAGTTTTAGCTTAGTTGTAGGACGTATGTTTCCATCATTGTTAACGAATCTACCAGACAGCTTCCGCTGTTGCCTCAAAAAGCAGGAGCTGGAGTCGCAGGCAGTTTCCTTAGGCTGTTGCCTTTTGAATGGGATGTTTAACCCAGGAGGCAACACTGCTGGGACCTGGGACCACATCACGGTTTTCCTCCTTCTCTGCAAGCCCCTAGGCTCAGCCACCGACTGGCTGCTTCTCCTCAGCCTGGATTCACAAATCTCCCAGGGCCCGTTTGTCCAGGAGGTCAACTTTCCTGCATCAGCTGGAAGCCCTTTGCCTGAGTTGCAAGCTGCCCCTGCCCCAGTCCCCCAGGTCCACGGCCAGTCCTTGCCCTGAATTCCAGATCCATCTCCTACCATTAAGTGGAGTCCCAGAGTCATGCATGCAGATGCCCAGGGTGGAATTCATCTACACCTTTCTCAAGTCTGTTTCCTGGTAGTCAGGAATCCAGGATCCTTCTGGCAGGAACTAACAAAACGAAGAACCGGCAATCTTCTGCCTCTTCCCATTATCCACGTATGTCAGAGCAGGAGCTGGGTAGCCAGCCCTGTGTCTCCTGCTTTGGCTACAGCTGGAAGCAGAACAAGGTTTCTGAGTGGAACAAGTTCCTTCATTATTAGGCAACCTTAACATTCCGGCCCTGGGCCGTGGATAAACAGCTCGTTAGCTAGATAATGCCCGGGTGTGCTATTTTCTTTATAAGCACAGGGATATTTTTTAAAGTTTCAGGAATAACCAGTTTCCCTGGAGTATGGATGAGCAGGCCTAAACTTCCCAAACCTTCCACCCCACCCCCACCCTACACACCAGGTGAGCAATTCTGGTTATTAGTTAAGGTATTAACCATCAGAATGTATACCCTTGGAAAGGAGGCTCTATGAAGTCATTGATTTCCTTTGCAATGATATAAAATGAATGTCCTACCAAATAGGAACACGCTTGTGTGCTTCTCAGGGTTCGGTGGAGAAGCAGGGAGCAGAAGCCGGGTCTTGGAGCTGGGGCACTGGCTCTGTTCACTCTGGGACTGGCACTGCCTCACCAGCCTCAGCTACTCAAAGGGCCTTGGAGCACGTGTGGCCCAGACCTGGTCAGCTTTCAAGCCTCTCCACTCTCTCTATAAAATGACAGCGATGGTGTGAAACATTGTTGGAAGCCATTGGCACACCTCTTGCAGCCTGGGAAATAGAAGACTCCTGTTCCAAGCTATGGCCAATCTTGTCTTAAGACCTCTGTTACTTGGATTATAATCAAACTGTAAATACTGCATTATTTTCAGCATTTGGAAATTTCATCTTAAAACGATAATTGTAACCGTAGACAGTCAGTGGTTGCTAACCAGGACCTTGAGAATAGTGGTATTGGGCCAGCACGGTGATGCTGTAGATCGAAGCAGGATTCAAGTTCAAGGCCGGCCTAGGGCACACAGTGAGAACATCTCTCAAAATGAAGTCAACAAAACAACAAACACAAAATTAAAGAAAATTAATATTGCAATTCCAGCTGCATTTAAAGAATAATTTTTTAGAGGTAACGAGAGTTGCCGGGGTCACGGGTAGGAGAGGCCGTTGGGTAATTTGGAGACACAGGCTGGAACAAAAGAGCACCAAGTCAGTGCATGCCACTTGCTCAGATCCCAGGAGCTCTGGTACTGGCTGTAAAACCAGTTCCTTGGAGAATACTTGAGTCTTCGGGACCTGGCACCTGCTGCCTCCTAGGCCTTGCCCTCCTCCACCTCTGGGTTGCTCCTCACGGTTCTGGGATCACCACTGCAGCCCCTGCCTTGACCTCGCTTGACCTTCCCTCCTCCTGGGACCCCACCCTGCTCCCACGGTGAGTCTCCTTCTCCTTCAGGTCTCTACCCAGGCGGCAGCTTTCAAAAGGAGGGCGTTTCTGACCCCACAAATAAAAGAGCGCACCTTCCCACTCTCTTGGCCAGACTTTCTTACACCACCTGGTATCTATTTGCTACTTCCTGTTTCCACCCCATCTATTCCTGCATCCCCCGTACCTGATCGCTTCACTCCCATCCCCAGGTAGTCATGTATTCCTGAATCCCCAGCACCTAGAACAAGATCCCGGCAGGTGTCTGGGACTCCGGACAGTGAGAGGAGCCGTGTGCAAGCTCCTTGACCACGTGGGCGTATCCAAGAGGCTGGGTGGGCGTGGGGGGATCAGCTTGATCTACCATAGGAGCAGAAGAGGTCTGGAGTGAAGGAGGATGGGCTTGTGATGAAGACAGTAATGGGAGACGAGGGGAGCCTCCTGATGTGAACCACAGAGAAGACTGATGCAGAGAATGGCAGCCGCTTTGAGCCAAATGTGGCAGCCTCCCTGGAACGGTGAAAAAGTCCGAGAGGCCGAGTAAGAGACAAGGTGCGATCACAGGCTGTCCAGAGGGCAGAATTAGCTGAGCCACGGCAGAGGTGTATTCAAATGAACAGGATAACATGGCATTTCCTGATAGAGTCAAAGCTGCTGCGGGGAAACAAGATGGATTTCAGCGTCAGAGAAAGCCATCTTTGCTGTTGCTGAGAATCAGTGGCAAAGTGGATATGGGTAAGAGGAACTGGCCATCTCGCTGCTGGAAGTCTTTGATGGTTTTAACTTAATTCACTTCCCAGTAAAAAGAGGCAGGTTATTAGCTGAGGAGAGGAGAAGTAACAATGAACTCCCAAACAAGGGGCGGTTTGGAGACGAGGCTCAACTGCCAAGGCGGTTTGTTCTATGAAGCGAGTCATGTACTCCTTAGGGGACGCGCCTCAGGCCAGTCCCCACAGGTGCCTTGTGGCTGCACCTGGAGAGCCTGTGCCTTTGTGTTAGCTGCTATGCCATCCGGTTTCAGCCTTCAGGGGCATCACTTGCATGCAACACTGGCTCATGCTGGCTTCCGATTCCGGGCCTGAGCTGACAGTCCGTCTGACTGTCCATCCTTCTTCCCAGCTCCTGGGCATGCTGAAGCTGGGGAGTCTTTGCCGTTTCTCTGAAGGCCTGGAATGGAGTCAGACCTGGAGTTTTGCCAGCTGTTCAATTGCATTTTAAGGAAAGGAGGGAAGGAGGAGGGGGCTAAAAGGAGCAGTCTGAGCAGGATGGAGGTGGTCAGAGCTTGACAAGAAACACGTTGAATAGAGCTGGTTTCTAAGCCACAGAAATTGCCAGGAGCACACCAGGCTTGGTGCTTCCTGTGCCTGAACACACAGGAAAGGCATGCATTAAAACTCCCTTGTCGTCTTTCTTTTTTAACTTAAACAGCTCCCCTGCCTGTCATCTCTGCACTGGATGTGAACTTTCCATCGGGCAGAGGTTTCGTGTTGAGAATTTAACAGCGCCGGTGGCCCTGAGTAGTGAGCTGAGCAACATGGCCAAGAGGATCAGAAAAGGCTACCGCCATAGTCCTCAGCTCATCGTCTGTCGGCTTAGAAGCAGCCCGGTTATGAGGAACCCAGATCAGGCAGTATGTAAGAGTTACACTGGGCACATGTGATGGGGACTCTGTCCAGAGACAGCAAGGAGAACAAATCTTACCTTCCCTTTTCAGTACCAGGGCCTCACCCTAGGACCCCACGCAGACGAGGCAAGAACTTTGCCCACAGCTCAGCTTAGCGCTTGTGTCTTTTAGGACACTCAACAGCTTGCTCACTGACCGCTCACTGGGTGTGCTAGGGTTCAAACTCCAGGCACTTTGAAAGGGCAATGCAAAAGTATGCAAAAGTAATTAAATGCCTGCATACCCCAAACCCCCCCAAACCCCTTTTTCAGGTTTTTTAAATTTTAATTTAGGATCAGTTGAAAAGCTAATTTTCACTTAATGCTAATTCTAGGTCTGTTTTCAGGATAAATATATACATATATATATTTAATTACATGTAATTAATATATATACATATATATATTTATATATTTAATTAAAACCTGATATAGGTGAGATAACTCACCAGGTAAGGACACTTGTTGCCAACTCTGATAACCTGAATCCAAGCCCCAGAAACCACATTGTGGAAAGGGAGAATCAACTCCACAAAAATTGCCCTCTGATGACCACACATACCATTGCACAAGGTTAATGTTTTTAAAAAATCCAATTTTATAGAAAAATCCTAAAATCAATAGTATCAATAGTTACCATCAACCAACACTGAAACTGAACAGTTTAATTACCACTTAAAATAATTTCTTAGAAAATATTTCACACATGAAAGGCATACAAGATAGACAATATAATCAAGACAGGACAATTCCTTCATATTCACCAGACTTCAGCCTAGTAGGAACTCAGTCAATGTTTGTTGAATGAATAAATGATTCTCATTTATTTTTAAATACCAGGCTCCATACTTAAAATGTCCTTGAAGTCAAGGACAAAGCATTAAGTCCGACTTTCCTTCCAGGGGGCCTCTACAAATATTACGTGATTTGTGTCAGTAAATACTTATAAGTTGGTTGTTACTGTTGTTTCTTTTCTCTCTGCCAAGTCTCTGAAGTTCTCTTTTAGGCTTGAACTCTAGCCCCTGGCTCCCCTAACTTCGCATTTGCCTAATGGGAATGACCTGCTAGCATGATCTTGATACACTGCTAACTGAGAAGGGAAACTAATTTTCAGTGTGGTATTTCATCATACCATAACAAGCTCTACTATATACTTATTTATCATATAGGCCCTAGCTAGATTTAGTGTTCGAGTTAAAGATAGAAATTGCTTACAGTTTATATTTTCCAGCTAGAATGAGTCAAAATTTAAGATTGTAAAGTAGATGAGCTGGAGATACAGGCAATTGTAAGCCACTCATTGTGGGTGCTGAGAACCAAATTCAGGCTCCCGGCCCTATAGGCTGACCTGTGACCACATCTCTAATCCTAGTTATATTTTTGGCCTCAATCTTGAGTCGCCTTCCTGTGACTCCCAAATTTCCCCCATGTCATTGCAGAAACTATCCACATCTTGCTTTATGTTTCTCACCCCAGTTTTCTGTGTCACCTTGGTGGCTCCATGGCTGCTTGCTTTGGAGTTGTCTAGGGGACATGCTGTTGGGCTTCAGCTGCTTCTTAGACTAAACTTGACTGATTTGAGCCTCTCTTGACTTAGCTCTGGTTCTCTTGCTTGACTTCAGTTCTCGTCTTCAGGCCTGCTCCTTCTCTCTCTCTCTTTCCATGGCCCTTCCTGAATCCCAACCTGCTCTAACTTTGTCTTGTTTTGTTTATTGGGTGTTTGTTAATGCTGTTTTGTAATATGCCTTCTCCCTGCCAGCCTGGTCCCAGAGCCACGTCAGTCCCAAATGAACACACAGGATGCTATATTAATTATGAAGCTGCTGGCCATTTGATATGGTTTCTTAATGGCTAGCTCTGACTTAATTATTAACCCATAACTACTAATTTTAGTATTTCCACATGGTCTTCTCTTACTGGAGAAAGGGTCCAGACCTCTTATTTCTCTCGTATCCTACATGGTGACTGATTGTGCCTCTGTTTCCCAGAATCCTCCTTGACTCCTAGTACCACCTATCTTGCTTCCCTATTGGCCAACAGTGTTTTCTTCATCAACCAATAAGACAAACATGTACACAGAAGGACTTCCCCCATCATTGTTTGTTTTATTTTAATTTTGAGACAGGACCTCAAAGTGGAGCTTTGGCTGTCCAGGATTCCACTATCTAGACCAGGCTAGCCTTGAACTCTCAGAGATCCACCTGTCTCTGCCTCCCAAGTGCTGGGATTAAAAGTGTGTGGCATCACGACCTGAGTCTTCCTTGCAGCACCTGTCTGCATGAAGAGATGTCCCCTTCATTGCTTCTGTTCTGTCTGCCAACTACTTCTGAGTAGCCACTCCCACAGGGGTGTTCTCCACTGGTGTCTCAGGTGCCACAATTCTGGAAAGCAGTGTTTCATGTGAGCTATGTTGTATGTAGGTCAGGGATGCCCACAGGAGCCCATGTCTGAGAATTCGGGTCATAAGCACGATGTAGTGATATATTATTTATGACTTATTAAAGCTTGACTGAGGATTCAGAAAAGCAAATTCAGCCTCAAGCTACAGAGATAAGATAGTGGTGGCACACACCTTTAATCCCAGGACTCATGAGACAAGGCAGATGGTGCTCTTGGAGTTCAAGGTTATCCAGGCTTACACAAGATGGAATCAGTCTAAAAGAGTAACAGAGCTCCCCCCTTTAATCTCCGGACTCATGAGAGGTATTGAAGACAGGAAAAAGATTCAGTATCAGGCATTTGTTTTCCAGTTACTCTGAAGAGAGGCAGCAGTTTGAGACTTGGTAAAGAGTTCATGTGTGGATCAGCCCCTTCAACCTGAGCTAGAGGTGAGAGCTAGTAGCCAGCTGCTTTGCTTTTCTGATACTCAGCTTGAAGTTTGAACCCCAATATCAGTCTCTGGATGATTTATTTTTCATATTGCAGCTCACTACTTTTTGAGAACAGTTTGGTACAACATTATAAGTCCACATAAGCTCCCTAGGTCTCCATGACTCAATAACAAGTGGTTTCCCTGGAAGAAATGTCCTGCTGGTTACATGTGGAAGCCTATGCTGCAGAGCTGAAGGGGATTGACCTAATTGAGAGACATTTCTTCTATCATACAGTCCACATTTAAAGTTTATGAGGTGTTCATTGTGCTGAACAGCCTTTACTACAATCGTTTTTAGAAGTTTCCATCAGGACCATGAGATCCTGTCTCCCTCACCAGCCTTTACCACTATTCTGTGTGAGTCCATCTGGAATATTTCACTTAGATGTAGACATGTGATTTGAGACTTGCTTCTTTCATCTCTGATGCTGTTTCAGGATTTTTTTGTCCAATTGTGGCTTTGGCACTTCATTCCTCATTTAGTCAAATGATATGTATGTATATATATATATATGTATGTATATAGGTTTTTACGAGACAGGGTTTCTCTGTATTGTTTTGGAGGCTGTCGGTCCAGCCTGGCCTCGAGCTCACAGAGATCACAGAGTGCTGGGATGCCTGGCGTCAAATGATATTTTTTTTTTGTGATACAGAATTATTTTATTGATGCTTCAATATACAGAAAATTGTGAATGCAATGGTTGGGAATAAGGACATTTTAAAAACACAATAAATAAAGAGAACATAACTGAAGATTTCAAATACAGTTCCTTGCTTCAGTAGATCCTTGAAGTCAGCTACAGACATTCCAGAACCTGAACATAGCAGGAAGTCGAAGGGCTGAGGAAAACCCCAGAAGGGGAGCACATAAATCTGGAAGTCATGTTCCCTATTTACTGCCAGCAAGGACAAAATCTGGGCCCCAGGTCATAGACACAACGCACGTCAAATGATATTTTAATGTAGATAATTATTTGCTGTATTCAATATACTCCATCCCCCCCTTAGTCAGCCGATGTGCATCTGAGTTGTTCCCATCGTATGGAAACTACAAACATTTTATTATTATTATTATTTTGAGCATAATCTAGGAAGAAGATTGCAGAGTCAAATGGTAATTCTATGCATGAATATTATTGAACCCTTTCTCGGGTTTTTATTAGCCATTTGCATACCATCTTTGCTGAGATGTTAGTTCAACTACCTTGCTCATTTTTATTTTTTAAATTTTAAATTGGGTTGTCTTTTTGTTGTGAGTGGTAAGAGTTCTTTATATATTCTTAAAACAAGTCCACTATTATCTGTGTGTGTGTGTGTGTGTGTGTGTGTGTGTGTGTGTAGCTTACTGTCTTAGGATTTCCATTGCTGTGATGAATCAGCATGACCGAAAACCAAGTTGGGGAATATAGTTGGAATTTTCTTTGGGCTATCAACCAGCTCCCAAATAGAGACACAGAGACTTATTAATTATGAATGTTTGGCCTTAGCTTAGGCTTGTCCTGTTATCTCTTTTAACTTAATTTAATCTATTTCTATTCATGTTTTGCCTCAGGGTTTTTTACCTTTCTTTCATTCTGTATGTCCTACTTTCCTGCTTCTTTCATGTCTGTCTGTCCCCTAGCATCTTTTTTTCTTTCTCCTTTTTCCTAAACTAAGTTCCTCCTCCTACTTACTCTCCCTGCCTGAAAGTCCTGCCTATACCTCCTCCCTTGCTATTGGCTATTTTGCTTTTTATTAGAATAATCAGATGCCGTAGGCAGGCAATGTAAAGGAGCAGCATATCTTTACATGGTTAAACAAATGCAACACATCTTTACATAGTTAAACAAATATTCCACAACATGGGAGGAAAGGGGTTTTTTTGGCTTAAACTTCCATATCATTCATCATCAAAGGAAGTCAGGACAGGAACTCAAACAGGGCAGGAATCTGGGGCAGGAGCTGATATAAAGGCCATGGAGAGTGCTGCTTACTGGCTTATTCCCCATGCCTTGTTCAGTCTGCCTTTATACAGCACCCAGGACCCAGACAAGGGTGGTTCCACCACAATGGGCTGGGCCCTTCCCCATTTGTTCACTCATTAAGAAAGTGCCCTA